TACTACACAAGGGCATTCTGCTTGCTAAGTCATAAACCCAGCCCTAGAGGAAGGGGCTGCCTTGTCTAATTTGCACAGAGGTGCTACCTGAGTAGCCAATGAAGCTGTCCAGAGGAGATGCCCTTTTCTAATTCACACAATTCCTAATTCCACTGGCGGAGTCCCGGCCAGAGGCCTGGTCTAAGGTCGCTACCCTATGACTCTGTGACATCTGCCCCCTTTGCAGGGCTCTCGTGGAGGCCACCAGGACTACTGTCTATGTCGTGAGCATTCAGGACATAGAATCCACGGCTCGGTGAGTGCCCACAGGCCCGGTGGTTGGAGTGAGGACAAGAAGCAGCAGCATGATGGGCCTGTTGGGTGGTTCTGGACTGTTTACTCTTTGCCCCTGTCCCATTCCAGGGCCCGGGGCCGTTCCTACCTTGATGCGTATTTTGTCTTCTCGAATGGGTCAGCCCTGACACTTGATGAGCTGAGTGTGTGAGTGGGGCTCCCCTTGGGGTGGTTAGGAGGGTGAGCAAAAAGCCTGGGGGGTGCCAATGTCCCTTGGGTCTGAGTGGGAGTCTGTGGCCAGGATGATCCGGAATGACCAGGACTCACTGACGCAGCTGCTGCAGCTGGGGCTGGTGGTGCTGGTGAGTGTCAGCGGCGGAATTAATGGGGGAGTGAGGCGGGGGATGTCCATCCACAACTTCCTTCACACTTCTTCTCCAGGGCTCCCAGGAGAGCCAGGAGTCGGACCTGCAAAAGCTGCTAGTCAGTGTCATCATAGGATTGGGAGTGGCTTTGCTGCTGGTCATCGTCATCATGTCCACGGCCCTCATGTGTACCCGAAAGAGGTACTGCTCCCCATCACCCCCTGTGTCTTCAACCCCACCTTTCCCACCATCCGAGATATCTGGTGGGTAGAGAAAGCTTTTAGGCATCCGGTATAACTGTATTTAATCACCCGAGACCTGTCATGACCACTTGGATAGGTCATCTCCCCTCCCTGAGCCTCAGTTTCCTTTGCAGGATGAGCACAACACTAGATTCCTCAAGGCACACAAGGACACAATGTGCGTCCTGCCACCAGCAAGATGTCTGGCACATACTATGCATTTCATAAATGCTTCTTTTTCCCTTTCCAATATGTTTGGAGTGAGCAGCCACATCTGGATTTGACTCCAGGCCTTGCCACTGGCCAGGCTTTGACAAATCATTTCCTTTCCCTGGCTCTTACTTGTGCCCTCTGTAAAATGGCGCTAACCCTCTGACCTGCCAGGGTTGTTGTGAAGTCACACTCTCAGTGCCTGCACTGGGCACACAGTGGGTGTGCAGGGAAAGTAGTGACCCCCTAGCCCCCAGTTTTCCACAGCTACCACCGGAAGCTTCGGGCTGTGAAGGCTGCCAAGGAGGCCCGGAAGACAGCGGCAGGGGTGATGCCCTTAGCCTCTGCCATCCCTGGGACGAACATGTACACCACTGAGCGGTGAGCAGGGTTCAAAGGGTGGGTAAGAGGCTCCATGGGGTGTCTGAGGTTCACAACTGCTTGAATAGGCCTTCTCTCCAGGGCCAATCCTATGCTGAACCTCCCCACCGAGGACCTGAACTTCGAGTCCCAATCTTCCTCCAGTGACCTAGACCACATGAGGTGAGCAGTGACCCTGGTGTTGGTGGTGGAGACGGTGGTGGTGTTGGTGGTGGAGGTGATGGTGGTGGAGATGGTGGTGGTGTTGGTGGTGGAGGTGATGGTGGTGGAGATGGTGGTGGTGTTGGTGGTGGAGATGGTGGTGGTGTTGGTGATGGAGGTGATGGTAATGGTGGTGATGGTGGTGGTGGTGGTGATGGTGGTGGTGGAGACGGTGGTGGTGTTGGTGGTGTTGGAGATGGTGGTGGTGTTGGTGGTGGAGGTGATGGTGGTGGAGGTGATGGTGGTGTTGGTGATGGTGATGGTGGTGGAGATGGTGGTGGTGTTGGTGGTGGAGGTGATGGTGGTGGAGGTGATGGTGGTGTTGGTGATGGTGGTGGTGGTGGAGATGGTGGTGGTGTTGGTGGTGGAGGTGATGGTGGTGGTGTTGGTGATGGTGGTGGTGGTGGAGATGGTGGTGGTGTTGGTGGTGGAGGTGATGGTGGTGGAGATGGTGGTGGTGTTGGTGGTGGAGACGGTGGTGGTGTTGGTGGTGGAGGTGATGGTGGTGGAGATGGTGGTGGTGGTGGTGGTGGTGATGGTGGTGATGATGATGGTGGTGATGGTGGTGGTGGTGGTGGTGGTGGAGACAGTCATGTGGTGATGGTGGTGGAGGCAATAGTGGTTCTTGGCCATGGACAGGGAAGACTGGGGCTACTAACTATCTGAGCTCCATCATCTCCCCCACAGTCTCAATTCCCTGGATGACAACTCTGTTGACTTGGAAAAGGACAAGGAGATAACCAAGGCAAGCTGGGGGATGAGTTGGTGCCTGGGGCTTCTTGACTTGGGGTCCTTCTCTGAAGGGGTGGGGTTTGGGACAGACCTGCTGCTGACATATGCATGTCTCCGCACCAGGCCCTAGGAAGCCCATGGCTTTGGAATGGGGCCCAATGCTTGCTCTTCACCTGGTTCACTGTGTGACTCGGGGTGGGTGACTTTCTTCTGGTTCTCAGTTTTCTCATTTGTATATGAGGATTGGAACACTAACCGTGCAGGGCTTTTTGAGAATGAGGTTAGAGCAGGTATGAAAACCACCTGGCATGAAGCAAGAGCTAAAAATTCTGGTTCCCTCTGTTTATACCCTTTGTATGAAAGCTGGCGGGGTGCGGGGAAGAAATCTGGAGGTGGATGTAATCTAGTAAAGGAGAGAAGGTAGGCTCAAATAAATAGCAGTGCCATTATTTGTTCAGTAGGTGAGGTGGTTCAATGAGATCAACAGTTCACACAGCCTGGGCTGCTGATTGGAATCACATGGGGAACTCTTTAGAAATGCCAATGCAGTGTCACAGCCTGGAGATTCTGATCCAATGGGTGGGGTGGGCCTGGGCTTGAGCGTGTTGTTAAAGCTCTTGAGGTTCTAATGTGCAGGATAGAGAACAGGGAGTAGATCAGCAGGTGGGGTGTGGGAATGTTGCACAGGGATCTGGCTGTAACATGGAGGCCTCCAAATGGTCCCCCAAAGATGGGGGTCACAGATGGTAATCCAGGCCACCAGGCAGTGCTGAAGTGAGGTGGATGGCTCATCTCTGGTTGAAGATGGTTTGGGGCCAAAACTCCAATGAACATGTCTGGGGGGAACTGAGGAAGAAGAGAACACTTGTGGGTTAGAACTTGTGGCCAGGCAGGTGGCCCCTCGTGGAGGCCAAGGCTGACCCCTAGAAGGGAGTGGAATTGGGGACTTCAGGTGGGGCTGGACCTGTGGGTTGGGAGGGGCAGGGAGCCTAAGAGATGAGTCTAGAGAGGGAGAGAGGCTGGGCCACTGGGAGCCTTCAAAAGCCAGAAAAGAGCCAAGACTGTCCTAGGATGACAGAGGGTTGTTCTATTTCAGAGAAGCTGCCCAAGACTCCACCACCTCTCCTGCAACAGTAGGTGGGCCTTGGGGTCTCTGGGTGAGGAACACAGGTGGGACATTTTTCTGAGGATCTCTTGGTGCCCTGACTCACCCAAGACCTCCATAAATGTTTGTGTGGAAGGTCTGAGAGGTGATTTAATCCAACCTTCACAAGCAACCAAGGCCAGAAGGCTCTGGTTGACCTGCCTGAGGTCAGAAAGCTTGCAAGTCAAGAGCAGACCAGAACTCAGGTCTCCTGTCTCCAAGGGCAGGTTGAATTTCCCTAGGCTGCACTGCGCCAATGGATCCCACTGGTGGGTCTATGGTCAGAACTCCAGGGAGCCCTGTTTAGTCCTTCCTGGGGCCCCTCAGATGTTCCACTGTTTACCAGGAACCGGAAGAGCCCACGTCTGGAAAAAGCCTGTGGAATGCCCTGGGGAGGATGGTGGCAGGGGCTCTGCCCCCATAGGTGTCTCTATGTTGGCATAGCTGAGCCTGGGGGATGGTCCGCAGGAGGGCGTACTTGTGAGGAGGTGTGAGTGTGTGGCAAGTTGCATGGGGAGGGGGAAGAGGAAAGGCAGGAAGATGAGTGAGTGCCATGATGAACTGCAGGTGGGACCCTGGGTGTGATGTGGCCCTTTGAGGGTGGCAGGGGGAGATGCCGCACTCAACCAGGGGCAGCAATGGACAGTCTTTAGAACCAACAAGACCAGTGATCCAAACCCTGCTCTGCCTCTTCCAGGCCATGAGAGCCCTCCGAGTCTCAGTTTCCGCATCTGTAAAGTGGGGTACAGGATCCCTGCCTTAGGGGGTTCCTGTGGGGACTTTAGGTAATGGATGGGCTGCACCCAGCATAATGCCTGCCTTGGGGTGCAGGTGGCAGGAATTGAATTGGACTGACTCCTTGGCACAGGACACAGAGCCCGGTATTATTCAGGACTGGGAAGAACACCGAAGTCCTACTGTGTCCGTGGATCAGGGCAAAGGCCAGAGTAGACCATCCCCCTCAGGTCCACCCCTTCACCTGTTCACCTGAGCCCATCTGCACCATTAGTGGCCATGGTCACCTCTGGGACACAGCCAAGAAACTGAGGCCCCAGGAAGAGTAGGTGGGACCCCAGTTAAGGAGCCATCTGTCATGGGCTTGAAGACTCCCTTAAGGATCCCTGCCCTTCACACCTTCCCTCCTTCTCCCCACAGAAGGGACCCCTTCACAGTCCGATGGAGCTAGATACGGAGCCTCTGGGTGTGGTGCTGTCAGGAAGGAAGATGGGCAGAGGTGGACAGCAGGAGCTGTCCTTCACCAATGCTGGCCTGGACACCACGGACCTGTGATGTCCCTGCCACAGGACCCTTGCTGCAGAGCCCCACACGGGCCGCCACTCTTCTGGTCTACCCCGGAAGAGGTCTTGTCACCCCAAACCACACCTACCCCTCTGTGAACACAACAATATATCATGCTACTCTGCCCCCTTCTGCTTGTAGCTAATCACACCTGACAAGAACTGGGGGAAAATTTTATTACCAACGTATATTGTGACAGTTTGTAGCCAAAAACTGTGGCTGGGGGGGTGGGGACAGGGGTATTGAGTGGTCACAAGGGACTCGTGGGGCTCACAGCACACGGGGACGAGGGGTGAAGAGGGCAGCCTTTAAAGGACAGCTGTGGTTGTAGAGTGAGCTCTCCGTCCTGCCCCCAAAAAACAAGACCAGCTGTCAGGCTGCCTGCGACCCAAGACTTTCCACTGGCTTCTGACTGATTCCCAGACCTGTCTGAGACTCTCTTTCCAACTGCGCCCCCACGGCATTCCTGCAGCTGCCTTCCCCCTGTCAGGAATTGTGAACAGTGTCCAGTGAGGGTGGATAGGGCTGGGGGCTGGGCCAGATGAGGGGGAGATAGGAGTTGGGGACGACTACCAGCATGCAAGACATGCCCCGGCCATGGGGGCCAGCCCACCGCATGGACACACACCACTCTTCCGGGGGCCCCATATTTGAAGCCTTGCACACTCAGGGGTCTCACACACCAATCCTTGCACACTTGGAGCTTTTGTACACAGTCTCTCCCGTTCTGGGGACCAGGCAGCCACTGAAGACTTCAGCCTACCAGCCTGGACATCTCAGGAGCCTGCCTCAGCTCTCAGGGCCCGGCCTGCTGAGCAGATCCCCAAGGTAACCCCGGGTGACGGGGAAGGAGTGGAGCTGAGAGCTGGAAGGGGACGGGGTGTGTGTGTGTGTGTCGGGGCTGGGTTCGTGGTCCCATGACCATGAGGGGGCCGGGTAGAGAGGGTTCATTTGTGAGTTTGGCAGGGGAGGAGGCTGGGAAGAAGAGGATGAGAAGGCCCTAGAGGCTGCCCACCGCTCAGTGGGCCTCCCGCCCGTCGAGGCGATCCCTTCTAGGATCTTGGGCTCAAGAAGGGAGCCTGGAAAGGCTGGAAACCCGGGCGTATAAAAGGGGAGCAGATCACTCGGCCGTGGGTCCGGCTCGGGAGCAGCACCGCGGCCGGCGCACACTCTGCAGCAGCGCGCGGAAGAGGCCGGGCGGGCGCTTGGCGGGACCCTCGGCGGGCGCCGCGCGCACCGAGCCCGCACGGCCCGGGCCCGAGCCCGGTCCCGGGCCGGCGGGCGGCGGCGGCGCAGGCGCCCCTTGGCGGCCGTGCTCCTCGATCTGTCGCTCCAGGTGCTTCTGGATGGCCATGCCCAGCACCTCCACCTCCATGGCGGCGCCGTACACCTCCCACGTCATGCCCTTTTCGTCCCAGCTCACGTCGCGCACCGGCTCGGCCGCCTCCTGGGGCGCCACGGCGGCCGCCAGCGCGGAGCCGGGCCGCACCCGCACTTCGGGGAAGGCGGGTGGCGCGGCCGGCGGCGCGGCCGCCTGCGGCGTCATGGGCCCGGTGGCCACGGAGCGCGTCTCGGCGGCGCCCAGCGACACCTGCAGGCCCGCGTCCCGGCGCGAGGGTGGCCTGGGCGCCGGGCTGGGCGCGCGAGGCGCCGCCTGGAAGCTGAAGGCCGGGCCGCCCGCGCCGTCCTGCGGAGACATGGGGCTCACGGCCACCGACACGCAGGCCTGCGCGCCCGCCTGCGTCCCCGCGTCCTCGCGTGGCGGGGCGCTCGCCTCCCACGACGGAGCCTTAGTGAAGTTGTCACGAGTCCGCGGCCCGGGTGGGGGCCCTGTGGCTTCAGGGCCCGGGCTTCTCTCAGCCCCAGCGGCCACCAGGTCTTTCTGGCCTGGGCTGGAGGCCTCCGTGCTGGGCACTGGCTCCAAGAGGCCTCCGCCACTACCGGCCCCCGCGGGAGAAGGGCCTGGGCCGCAGGGTTTGCCATCTGACTGCCTGGAGGAGGAGGCCTCTGCCTTCTCCAGAGTCGGGGGGGCCAACTTCCCCGAGGATGGGGACTCTGCTTTCCTTGGAGGCGCAGCATCGGCCTGCCCCGGGATCACAGGCTCCACCTTCCCAGGGGCAATAGGGTCTACTTTTCCTGAGGATTCCGGCTCCCCTTTCTCCAAGGCCAGTGGCTTCTCCCGCAGAGATGCAGCCTCTGCTTTTCCCCATGAAACAGGGCCCTCCTGCCCAAGGGGCTTTGTTTCTGCTTTGCCCTCAGACTTGGGTTCTGCCTTCCCTGAGGCCCTGGGATCCACCTTTGTGGAGTTCATAGGATTCCCCTTCTCTGGAGGCAAAGGATCCACCTTTCCCTCTGGGACAGCGTCTGCTTTTCCCAAGGATGCCAGGACCGTTTTTTCTAGGATCATGGGGGCCACTTTTCCCGAAGACACAGAATCCACTTCTCCAGGGGGAGCACTTTCTGCCTTCCCTCTGCTCACAGTGTCTACCTTGCCCAAGGCCAGGGGGTCAGCCTTCCCTGAGGCTGTGGGACCCACTATTCCAGAAACCATAGGACCTGCCTTCTCTGAGGACAGTGGATCTGTTTTCCCCTCAGTCACTGTCTCAGCTTTTACAGAGGATGAGGGTCCTGCTGTCCCCAAGAATTTGGGATTCCCTGGACCTGAGGGCACAGGGTCTATCCTTCCTTTCGATTCGGGATTCACTTTTCCAGAAGATGATGTTTTTGTATGTCCCACAGAAATGGGATCCGCCTTTGTGGAGGGCATTGGGTCCTCCTTTTGTGATAAGACAGTTTCTGTCTTTCCGACAGACATTGGTTCTGCCTGCCCAGTAGACAAGGGCTCTGGCTTTCCTGAGGGCACAGGATCCATCTTTCCCAAAGAAACTTGACCCACCCTGCCTGAAGACACAGGATCCACAGTTTTCAAAGATGTGGGTTCCATCTTTCCTGAAAATACAGCATCCACCTGCCCAGCAGACATGGTTTTTATCACTCTCATAGACATGGGATCTCCCTTTCCCAAGGAGGTAGGATCCATCTTCCCCAGGAACTGAGGGTCCTCTTTTGTGGAGGACCCGGTTTCTGCACTTCCCATTGATGCAGGATCTGTCATCACCAAGTGAGTAGGATCCATCCTTCTGGAGGACCCCAGAGCCACTGTTCCTGGAGACACAGGCTCAGTTTTGCCTGATGACCCTGGAGTCAGTATTGCCAAGAACCCAGGATCTAGCTTTCCTGCAGTTGCAGAATCTGTGTTTTCCAAGGACCCAGGATCCATCTTTCCTGAGGGCCCAGGATCTCTCTTTCCCAAGGACACAAGGTCTGCCTTCCCCACAGATGCAAGAGCCACCTCTTCTGAGGCCACAGGAAGCTCTTTTCCTGAATACCTGGGCTCCTCCTTTCTTGGGAACTCAGGATCCAATTTGGCAGAGGATACAGGATCTTCCTTCCCTGGGGACACTGGATCCACCTTGTCAGAGCACACAGGATCTACCTTTCCCAAGGATCCAGGATCCTCCTTTCTTGAGGTCACAGGATCCATCCTTCCAGAAGCCACAGGATCCCCTTTTCCCAAGACTGTAGGCTCTGTCTTTACTATAAACATGGGATCTGCCTTCCTCAAGGACCCAGCATCTTCCTTTCCTATGAAAGTGGAATCTGCCTGCTTTGAAGACTTGGAATCCATCTTCTCTGAAAACATAGGATTTCTGTTCTCCAAGGATGAGGGATCAGTTTTCGCTGAGGACACAGGTTCTGGCTTCCCAGAGAAGGTGGCTTCTGGTGTCCCTGAGATCAAGGCTCCATGTGCCCCCAATGTCTCCTTGGTAGCTGCCTCTTGGGGAGGGATGAAGGTCAGGGAGGGGCAGGCCAAGCTCCCGCCAGGGCCCTCAGAACAGGAGGCCCCTTCCCCAGCCCCAGCGGGGCTGCTGTGTCTGGAGTCCATGCCTGGGCTTGGGGCAGGGTTGTGCCTAGAGGGTGCAGGGCTGGCCTTCTGCTGGGAGGGGCAGCAGTCCCTCATGGCTGGGTTCCCAGCCCCCAGGCTCCCATCCTGTGGGCAGCAGAGGGCTGTGGGCTGAGGGGCTGGGGGCTGGAGTTCTTTCAAAGAAGCTGGAGCCGGGCTGGGTCTTCAGCACTGCCCAACTGCCCTCCTGACCATACTTGTGCCCCAGGCTGCTATCTGGTTCTGAAACATAAAGAAAACAGACTCAGACTCAGGGAAGACCCAGTGGGGAGGAGCCTCTGTCTTTTCCCTCCCACCCTTTCCAAGCAGCTGGGCCTCCTCACTGGGTTCTCTGCCCCCATCTGGTCATCTCCTGTCCCACCATATCACTCCCCTGCTTCTCTGCTTCCTATGGCCCTCTGGATAAAGGTCAGACTTCCTAAAATGGCATTCAAGGCCCTTCAGAACTTGGCCATAGTCTAACTTTTTTTTTCTTTTTTAAAAAATTTATTATTTTTTTTAATAGAGAGAGAGAGAGAACATGGGAGGGGCAGAGGGAGGGGGAGAGAGAGTCTCAAGCAGACTCCATACTGAGCTAGAAGCCTGATGTGGGGCTTGATCCCACGACCCTGAGATCATGACCTGAGCTGAGACCAAAAGTCGGATGCTTAACGGACTGTCCACCCAGGTGCCCTCACAGTCTAACTTTTCAACTTCATCTACCATCACCCCATGCAGCATGCACCCTTCATCTTCCTTGTCAGCCCACCCCATACAGCATGCTACCCTGAAGTTATGCTTTTTTCATCTAGGCCACAGGTCACAAACTCTGATGCCACAGGGGCCAGGTAGGTAATTTTCGTGAGGGAAGCAGGCTGGGTATAGTACAATAGGGAATGGTAGGGAAAGCAGCAGAGAGTGCATGCCCTGTTTACAGGGGGAGCCACTCCTCCACTAGCCACATTCTGTTCCGGAGAAATGCATCCTGGTAGTATCAGTGAGTAGCAGGAGATCCAGAACTTTAATGTAAAATATCCTAATTCAAGATCAAAAAAGAAAAACACTATGTGGCTCAAACAAAATATGTCTGTAGGCCACAGTTTTGGTCTGTGCAGGCCCTGGGGAGTTGTGAATGATTAATAGTTGAGGAAGGGACATAGTCTGAAATGTGAGATTTCAAAGACTGCTCTGGGATGGTGTGGAGGCGGGAGGAGAGGGGCTAGCCAACCATTCTTTAACCTTTTATTCTTCCAATTCTTCATTCATTCACCCAGCCCTTCTCTGCAATAATCTAGATGAGAACTGGCACGGTAAAGGTCCAAGGAATAGAGAGTTGGCAGAATTGAGAGATCCTGGGGAAAACTGACAGGAGCCAGCCAGCCATAGGGGGAGGCAGTAGGGGTGGCCCGCAGGATTCTGGCCAGGGTTGGGGGGTGTGAGGCAGGAGATCTGGGGAAAAGGGGAGCTGTGTTTAGACAGGCTGAGTGTGCAGTGTCTGGGGAACATGCAGGGAGAGGCTCTGGCAGGCAGCTGGATCTGCGAGCAACTTCATCCCAACTACACATCCACAGCCTGAGTGACTAGCGCACTGGATCCCCCCCAAACCTGCTCCACCATCTTTCCCAAAGCCATCTCACGAGTGCTCAGGCCAAAAGCCCTACAATCACCCTTGACTTTTCTCACACACCCCACGTCCCATCCACCAGCAAAACATAACAGATCTCCCTGCAAAATATAGCCAGAATCTGGCCACTCTCCTGAGCTGAACTCACACTATCTCCCACCTGGATTATCCCGGCTTTTTCCTTCAACCCATATGGTTCATTCTCAACACAGAAGCTGGAAGGATCTTAGTAAGACCCAAGGTAGCCCATCCCTCTTCTGCTCAGAACCATGCAGTATCTCCCCAAACCATGCCAAGTAAAAGTAAACTCCGTACATGTCCCTGATCTTCTGGCGCCATCACTGATCTTGACCTTGTCTCCTACTTCTTTCTCTTGATTACGCTGCTCCAGTCACACAGGCTGCCTTGGGGCTTTCGCACTGGCTGTTTCCTCTGCCTGGAATGCTTTCCCTCCTGAAATCTGCATGGCCTGCTCCCTGCAGCTTTCCCTGACCCATCCTCCCCAGCACTGGTGGGCACTCTCCATCCTCCTTGCCTTGCTCAGCTTTTCTTCATATTACCCATTTACCATCTGATATATTACATACAGTGGTTTATTACTTATGGTTTGTCTCTCCATTAGAATGTCAGCTCCAGGAGGATGGGGACTTTATGATATTTACTTATATACCCTCAGGGTTGAGAACAATAACTGGCATATAGTAAGCCAGTAGCCCCCTAGGCATATTTGTTAAACGAAAGACTGAATGATCTTTTTAAGATGTTGGTCCAACATGCTACTCCTTGGCCCCAACCCCTCCTTGCTCTTGCTAGGGAAGTAAATTGGCTGTAATCTTTTTGGAAAGACATTTGTCAATTCCTATAAAAGTTTACAATGCACTTGGCATTTAGGTCAGCAAGCCCGCCTCCAGGAATGGTCTTGAAGATGGGTCAATGGTGCACCAAGGGTACACAAGAACATGGCTGGTGATGAGAAAAAAAAAAACTGGAAGCCAGTTCATGAAATATGGGACAGCCACATGGCACCCCCCCACCCCCACCAGCTATCAGAATGTGTAGAGTGATGAGGAAAGATGCCTAAGATAAATTAAGTGAAAAAAGCCAGGGCAAGTGGGATTCCATGCATGCAGACAAGAAAAAAGACAGATACACATATATGGGTTTATTTATAAAAAGAAAATTTATGGAAGGAAATCCATGAAACTTAGTAGCAATTGCCTCTGGGAAGTGAGACCAAGGATCTGGAGGTGGAAGAGATTTTTTTTTGGTATGCCCCTTTGTGATGCATGAAATTTTGGTTATGTGTGCATATATTACTTTTTTTAAAAACGGGGGGGGGGAACCTTAATGACTCCCCATTACCTTTAGGGTCAAGTCCAATTCTATAATGTGCTTCCAAGCCTCTGTGTACTTACTTACCTGCTAAACTTTACCTTTCAGTACGCACTCCCCCAAAGTCCATACAAACACACACACACACACACACGCATGCATGCACGCACTATAACCTCTCTGGGCTCATCCATGGCTTCACAGTTTCTCTCACCTCGGCCTCTACACACCCTCTTGCCTGACTCTCATTAAACCTTCAGGTCCCAGTTCAAATGCCCCCTCCTCCAGTGAGCTTCTTTGCCCACCAGCATCCTAGGAGTTCTTACGGCCTCTTGTTCTTCCCCTAACCAGACACATGTCACTCTGCCCTTTATACCCCTGGATCCCTGCCTAGACCTTGAGTCACTGGATAGGGATTGAGCTGATACTATTCACCACCATGTCCCCCAGGCTTTGGGCTTATGGGACTTGGGCGGATGGGGGTCATCACTAGAATGGGGACACTGGGGTAGGAGCAGTCTTGCAGAGGACAACGGGGCACTTGACTTTGGAAATTGAGCTGAGGTACTTGTGGGACTATGGGGGGGGGGCAGCTGGTTTACACACCTGGTTGAGGAAGGCCCTTCTGAGGCGGTAGCGCCTGAGGCAGCCATGAAAAGGCCAGAGTGGCTGGAGTGAAGTTGGAAGGGGAGAGAGAGGAGGCGGTTGCCCACTTAGCAGCTCTATGAGCTCAGGCAAGTCCCTTCTCCTCACTGGGGACCCTGACGAAGCCGCCTCTGCTCCCACGAGGCTGCTGTGAGGATTAGAGAGGATGAGGGGTGTGCAGGGCTCTGCTCACTTTAGGGCTGGGCTGTGTACATGGAAGGCCTGTTTTCATCTACTCCCGCCTGTCAGAGCCCAGCTGTGCTCCCAGGAGGGGGCAGGGGACGGACGGCCTGTAGCAGAGGCACAAACTGGCAGAATCTAGCCCTCAGACCTGCTTGTTTGACCCAGAGCGCTAAAAAGAAATTTTTAAAGGAGTTAACTGATCAACATTTAAAATTAGAAGATTTCATGTGAAAATCAGATTTCCAGATTCTCTGGGAAAACTAAAATTTGGCAATCTGAGCATGCTTCCTGCGTGGCAACAGTCAGCCGGAGCCAAACAGTGGCTGCCTTCTTGGATGGGGGTGTACTCTCCAATTAGCCACAATCTCCACCCCTCCCTATGGTGTCCTGGACACTGGGGCTGACTGCCTGTTGCTATGGATCACTGACTCCTTTTTCTTATAGCCAGCCCCTCGTGTAGGCTATACACCTGGCCTATAGCCACCTGAGTTTTTTTTTTTCTCGAAGATTTTATTTATTTATTTGACAGAGAGAGACACAGCGAGCGAGGGAACACAAGCAGGGCGAGTGGGAGACGGAGAAGCAGGCTTCCCACTGAGCAGGGAGCCCCATGCAGGGCTCGATCCCAGGACCCTAGGATCATGACCTGAGCCAAAGACAGACACTTAATGACTGAGCCATCCAGGCACCCCTAGCCACCTGAGTTTTGACCCTTGACCTAGATGCTGAGAAGGGTGGGAGGTGACCTTACACACAGCAAGCCTTTAGTACGTTTACTCTGTGCAGACCCCATACACCTGCCTGGCAGGTGCTGTGTTCTTATTTTCCAGAAGAGGAAACAGAGAGGCAGGCATGGCCCAGCTGGTAACACGTCTCTTCTGAAAACCCCCCTGGAAAAGGTTGGCTTCTTGGTTCCCAGCGAGCAGTTCTCTGACACAGAAGAAGGTCTGAGGTAGGGACGAGGAGCCTGGCCAGGGCATTAGAAAGATGTGGGGTCAGGCGCCAGCTTGGTCATTGACTTGCTCCATGAATTTGAGTATTTCCACAGTCTGGGCCTTAGTCTGTGAAATGGGGGAAGGGATGTAGTTATATCTAGAATTGCTGGCCCAGCCCTGGGTTTAAGATTTGCCAAGGCACCGTTCCCAGAGGCTCTGCTGCTCACAGTTCTACTGGGTGCTTCTTGGCTCTCGAGGGATCCTCAATATCCTCAAGCCACTTCTCCAAGAGGCAGCCCAGGCCGGGGGTGCCCCCTCCTTGTGCCCAGCCCTCCCACTGGAACCCAGGCCCATCACTCTCCCACTGTGTGCTCAGCCCTGGGCCCAGCACTCTCAGGCTCATTTGGTCTCTGGACTCCACAATGATTTCATGAGGGGGGCATTATCATCCCATTTCACAGATGCGGACACTGAGGTCAGAGGGAGAAAAGACTTGACAAGGGCACACAGCTGGTGCAGGAGGCTGTAGTTCAAAGCCTGTTGTGTCTGAACCCAAAGCCTGGGTTCTTCCTGCTTGTATCAGCTAAGATTTTGGACACTGACGCTTGGCTTTTAAAGCCCCTTTCTGCTCTTTGGGGCCAGGCCAAGAGTCCTCCCAATCCCCTGGGCCTGAGGAAGCATGAGTGTCCCCACATGCACACACCCACCAAGATGAACAGATGAACCTGCACGCTTATGTGACCTGATTGAGGTAAAAGATTGAACCGATCCCCTAGGTGTGTGGGCCAGCTCACCTGGCATGCAGAGGAGCGTGGAGACTGCACGTAGATGTCCGTGCCAGCTTAGACCAGCCTGGAGAGCCAGGACCTGGCTCCTGCATTCTGCTCAAGAAGAGCTTGGTGTGTATACATGCAACTTGTATGTGCAGAATGGCTTATGTACTTTGTCTTGTGGGGGCCACTTGGACCCTGTGGGTGTGCGCATGTGTGGCCACATGGCCTCAGGGTCCCTCACAGAGAGCTGGCCTGGCTGTGTGCACAGGTGCATGGGCCCCACTCCTGAGCAGAGCAGCCTCTGCGAATGCTTATTCTGGCCCAGGGACCTGGCCAGCCCTTTCCTTCTCCTTAGGATTTCTTCCCACTATGAAGCCAGGGCTGCCAAGCACCTGCAAACACCTCCTCCCATGTGACAAGAGCAACAAAGGCTGGGAGTGCTTCAGCAGGCGTGAGCGTGTGCCTGACAATCCTGGTCTGCTGCCCCTCACCCTCTTGGCCCCTTGTCTCCTAGTATCCCTGGGGCAGCAAAGCCGCCTGCCTGTGGCTGCAGGGGAGAAAGAGTCTAACAAAGGGTGATAGCCGTACCTTTCTCCAGAAGTGGCCCCAGACCATCCATCCATTCATCCACAGGAGGGCAAGCGTAGACTTGCAGGGGTGTGCACGTTTGGGCTGAGTGAGTGCAGGGGATGGGCAGCAAGCTAAGAGATGGAGAGGATGGGAGAGGAAGTGTGTGCACAGCCTACTCCAGGGTCTAGGGGTACATGAGGGACACCCTGAGCAAGTGTGAATAGGGACAAGCAGGCCAGAGCAGGGTGGCTGCGAGTGTGTTGTGATAAGGCAGTATTGTTGAGTTGAGTGTGCCGTGATAGGTGATGTCTGGTGTGAACGCGGAGCTAAGCCCGGGTGTACACGCAAGGCTCCCTCTTGGTGTACTGGGTGGGTGCACAGGTGGCCGTCTGTTAGTGTGATGGAATGACCAAGGGCCACAGTGTGTGTGTGTGTGTGTGTGTGTGTGTGTGTGTGTGTGTGTGAAGATCGTGGCCTCACCCGGGAGATGCAGGTGTGTGAACGCGGTGTGTGATGGGGTGTGTGACGGTGCCCCAGAGTGTGTGCCACACTGAGTGTGCGACGGCGAGTGTGCTCAGTGGTGCCGGTGGTTCCAGTGGAGCCCCTCGAGCACAGAGCTCGCTCCGGGGGGGCGGGGGGGTGGTGGAGATGAATCAACGCGGGCGGACCCCCTTCCCCGCGGTGACGGGAAGCGGCCCCTCCCGCACAGCCCTGTTGAACAATGCGGCCGCACGCGGCGAGGCCGGGCGTGGGGTCCCGGTCCTACACACAGGGCTGGCTGGCCCTCAGGGCCCCTCCAGTGCCCGGCCCCCGGCTGCGGGACCCGCCCCCGCCCTGCCCTGCCCCGCCCCGGCGAGGAGCCTGGAAATGGACACCCGCCGCCCCCGGCCGAGCGCGCACACACACATCCCGGGCGCACGCTGGGCACACGCCATGCATGGTGCGCGAGCCCCGCCACCCAGGTGGTTCGAGGACCCTGGACAGAGGCTGCGGGGCGGCCGGGAGCCAAGGAACGGGGTCGATGTCGCCCGCCCATAGCGGGCAGCAAGTGCAGGCTAGGAGCTTACCCGACAGTGCTGCCTCTCCGTCTCCTTGGCGCGCTGCGCTCCGGCTCCCGCCGCCGCCGCCGCCCGAGCGGCCTCGGCTGCCTCCGGCGGGGCTGGCGGGCGGACCCGCGGACTCCGCGCCGCCGTCCCCCGCGCCCGCTCGGCGCTCTCGCCTTGCGCCCCGCCCCGGGCATGCGCGCTGGCCGACTGGCGGCCTCCGAAGCCGGGAGGGGGCGGTGCCGGCGAGGAAAAGGAGGCCCGAGGGAGGGAGGGCGCCCCTCGCCCCTCGCCCCGCACTCCTCACCGAGGTCCGGGGGCTCCTGGGTTCCCCGCCCTCCTCGACCGGGTTCCCATTTCACAGACAGGGAGACTGAGGGGCGGAGCGCCTGCCCATTTGCTGCGCTCCTGTTGCGGGCGGGGCGCGTTGCCCGTCAGATCTCACTCAATCCAGCCCCGCGAACACCCTTTACTAGTTTTACCGAGGAGGAAACTGGGACTCAGAGAGGGAAAGCCCCTCGTCCAAGGGCACGCAGCGCCTGGATAGGGACCCAGGTCGGCGCGATCTCCGAGCTCCCCCTGCGCGGAAATTTCCCCTCCGCCTTGGCCGCACTTCCGGCCTTCTCTCCCCGCACCCCGCCCCGCCCCCGCCCCTTTGTCTCGCCACCGCCCACGCTCCCGCGAGTTAAGGGGACACGAGTAGGGTGGGAGCGAGGCTCCTTCGATTCCCTCGCTACGGGCCTCCCCAGCCAGGGTGCCCGCCCACTCTCTGGTCTATGAAAGCTCGGTTCTCTTCCCTTGGGTATCCTTCAGCAAGTTATTTCCCCATTTTTGAGCCTCAGTTTCCCAATCTATAAAATGGGACTAACATTAATCACCTCACAGTGGTCTTGGAAGGATGAAGTAGGTGTTCAGGGGTTTCCCGTTGAATCTGAACTGCCAAGGACATGAGGCCTTTTTGTCTACCACCCCCCTCGACATTTCTTTTTTTTTTTTTTTAATTTGCGAGAGAGAGAATGAGAGAGAGTACGAGAGGGAGGAGGGTCAGAGGGAGAAGCAGACTCCCCGCTGAGCAGGGAGCCCGATGTGGGACTCGATCCCGGGACTCCAGGATCATGACCTGAGCCGAAGGCAGTCGCTTAACCAACTGAGCCACCCAGGCGCCCCTCCCCTCGACATTTCTTCGCAGAGAAATAGTCCCCTCCTCTTTGACCTCCCAGAGGAGAACAAATAATTCTGTAATTGCCGAGAGGTGATAAAACCTTACCTGTACAGGGAGGCCACCTATTAAAAATGGTAACAACTAAGGTTAATGTAACGTTTATTTAGGGGTAGAAACCGTGCTAAGTTTTTGTTACTGTGTCATAAAATTTCAATTTCCAATCACTTAGGAGCAAATTAGTATTTATATATTATATCCCCATTTTTCAGATAAGAAAACTGAGATACTGATAGGTTACTTCGTGTTCACACAACTAGTTAATAGTGGAGCTAACTTCTGAAACCTCACGCTAAACCCTTAGCTCCTATTCCTCCCACTTACATGGTGAATCATAAATCACCGTGATCTTTTAAAAATCCAGGTAGTAAATGAAGAAAATCTATCGGACCAACGTCTTCAGCCAGCATCCCAGGGAAGCAGAAAACCTCAAGATGCCGTCAGCACCATGGACAACACCAAACACAAGGGATGCTTCCTAACGCTTCAGGCCCTGAAAATTGTTAATTCACTGCCCACAAGAGCACTATCGCTTCACAGTATTCAAACCCTATTCTACATTCATTGTTTCATTTTATTCCCCCTACAGTCCTTCCAGGTAAACATTATTGGCCCCATGATACGGATGAAGACATCAAGTCTTGGAGAGGTTCAAAAGACATGACAGTTGGCAAGAACCAACCTGTGATCTAAAAAGCTCCCCCTGGGGGTCAGGGTCAGGGTGGATAGGAGTAGAACCAGGGCATGAGTGAGGACGCCGTGAAGTTGTCCAGGTGAGAGATGATGATGCCCGAAACATGGCAGTGTTTGTTGGAATAGAGAAGAGGGGCCGGGTTTGATACCTATTTAGGGGTAAAGTCAACAGGTCTTGGTCATGGGTGGTTGTGCCTGTGAGGGGAGAGAGGATTCTGTTGCCTGGGGAGCTGAGTGGATGGAGGACAGGTACATCTGATGAGCCCTGGGGAAAGAAGGAGCTTGTGGGGCCACCATGCTGAGACGTCTGAGTCTAAAACTGAGCTCTTGAGTGGCCAGGCTGGAGACAAACCAGGGTTCTGGTGATGGAAGTCATGAGAGGGGTGTCAGTACATGAAGAATGAGTATAGACCAAATAAGGTGAGACAAGAGCCCTACATCCACCCTGAGGAATGCCAACATTAAGGTACCAGCTGGGAAAAGAAGACTGCAAAAAAGAATGAGAAACAGTAATCTGATAAACCAGGAGAAACTCAGGAGAATGATGCCTTAGAAGCCAAGGGAAGAGAATATTCCAGAAGGAAGGCACACAAGATATGGCCTGAGAGATGATTTCTGGACTTTGCAAAGAAGGTAATGGAAATTTGATGAAAGCACAGTGAGTGGAGTGGTGGGGGTGGAAGGCAGACTTGGGGCGGGGGAATTGATGAGTAAATTGGAGTAAAGAAGTAAAGAGAGCAAGAAGATGACTCTCTCAGCAAATTTGGGCTTGGAGGGAGACAGGCAATATCGTAAGCTCTACAGTGGGGTAGGAGGTTAAGTTGAGGAGATTTGGAGGCAGTTAAATTCTGATGAGAGGGGCCAGTAGTGAGGGAAAGGGAAGATGCCAGGAAGGGAGAGCAAATGCCTGGGCCCAGATGCTCAGGGTGGAAGAAGAGGACGGGAACCAGAGCCCTGGGGCAGCTCACAGATCCTGAGATGAAGACTGAGGCAATGTGGTTCATTTGGGAGGTGCAGAGACACCAGCAGGGGAGTGGGAAGGTGACCCAGGAGGGGAAGGCATCCAATAAGAGATGGTTATTAAGCCAACTATCCCAGTGGGTGGGTGAAGTGTAATCCTGCAGGAAGTTTTAGAAAATGGGGTAAATGTGCACCTCAGAATTCCCCTGGCTGAGGGTAAGTGATCTGGTGTATTTATATCCCAGCACCTGGGAGACATGGATGAAGGGCCAACCCATGGAGCTATGTGTTAATTCCCAGGCACTTCTGGTCCACAGTTCATGTGGGTAAAGCGGGTTCTAAAGCCCAGGGGCAGATTTTTGACAAGGATGCAGGTACCACCTGTTGGGAGTCTTGCTGGTGGGCACATAAATTATAAGGGCATCTGAAAGGATGTGGTCAGAGCTCCAGCTGTGTCTGCTACATGGGCACAGTCAGGGCCTCTTTCCATCTGTGCCCTTTGTCACACTCTCCAACCACCTTTGTTCCATGGGGACTTACTGATATAAACATGTTTAAAAATGAAAATTTCCAGACAACAAAACACTTGCTAAAGCAGAGTGGGAGCTCAAAAAGGACATGGAAGCAGGCAGATCCTGACTTTGCCAGCAACTAGCTGTGTGGCCTTGATTGAGGTCTGTCTGAGTCTCAACTTCATCCTATGTAACTCAGCTCTCAGAGTCCTGAAGAGGATATAGGGAGAAATAAAACCAAGCACCAAGCATAGTGTAGCACTCATGGTAGGTGCCAGGGTTATGGCAAGGCCAGTCCTGTGCACCCTTTTTGACCTCAGCACCTCCATTTTCCTTGGGGAACCACCTTCCCACTCCAGTCCATGTGGTGGGGTAGGATGGGCCTCCCTGTCAGCTTTAGGGGTGGGCAGTGACCTAGGCCTGACCAACCGCTATGCAGTGATTAGTTCTGGGGGTGGGACCAGAGCACAAGACCACAGCCAGGGCAACCGGCTCTCATACTTTCCTGGAGCTTTGGGGGTGGCTGAATTGGTGGTGTGTCTCCCTGGAGCTGCTGGGGGGTCATCTCTGTCCCCATGTGGAGCAAATCTGACCGGGCCCAGGTTGTGGCTCACCCTGTGATAACTAACACGGTCACCACACCCGTGAGAGTGTGTGTGCGCATGTATCTCGGGTTGCCCTGCTGCTGGGAAGCCACACACACTCTTACGCACCAGAAGATAAACAAGTGCCTGCAGCTCCTTGGCTGGCACCCAGGCTGGGGGTGGAATAAACATCCCAGTGACTTTCCGAAAAGCACGCGTGTGTGGTGACAGGTGCCATGGAGACGAGCAGACTGTACCAGAGCAGACGCAGCCACCCCCCAATTCCACCCCTCTGTGCACGCGTGTGTGCATGCACACACACACCTTGTGCTCTCTCATGTTCATATCCACTCCATCAAACATTCCCTCTTCACACCCATTCCAGCTTTGCTTGAGGTTAAAGGCGTTTGAGAAAGTCTGAGATTCCTGATATAACAGCGTCCACAGTTTCTCAGCTCCTTTGCCTGAACACTGGTCCTGGTCTAGGCTGAATTTCAGCAAATCATGGCCTCTAGGGAAAGTGTGATGTGTGATGTGTGTGTGTGTGTGTGTGTATGGGGGGAAACCCACTTTGTGAAGAGTTCTTATCTTTGCTTCAGAGACATGCACACAATACACATTCACCCAGTTCTTCAAGAAACACTCATCCAGACCCCTGCCCCACCGAGGCTTGTACAGACTCACCTGAATACAAACACTCAGATATGTATCCATCCTCACGCAAGCAATGTATAATCCACTATACCCTAGATGATGACGGTGGTGGTAGTGGTGTACCCTTCACTGGCTGCCTAGGTGTTTTACAATCATCATCTTATTACATTTTATACTTAAGGAAAACCATCTGAGATTGATAATATGCTTCCCATTTCCTAAGTGAGAAAACAGACATTTAGAGAGGTTAAGTAACTTGCCAGGGTAACACAGCTAGAAAGTGACAAAGCTGGGAGCAAAACTCCTGCCCACACCATTAGCCCTTCTTCATTTAGTCACATATACGTGTGACACCCCATGCATGTGCAGGCACACACACACACACACACACACAAACCCTGCCTCCTCAGTCAGTCCAGATAACTGATGTCCATGGGGTGACCTTCCCCACCCCGACCTCCTCATATGCATCACTCCCAGGCCCTCACAACACTGCCCTGATATTCATGAGAGCCCCTGGACTAGACACCTATGAGCACAGTGTGCTGCCCACATAGGCCCCCTCCCTCCCTCTCTACACCCCCCTCCCACTAGCAGCTGTAGGCCCTGGCCCAGCTGGGGGCGGCCCTGGGATTTGGATGGGTGACTCAGGCTGAATCATGGCCCAGCTGCTCCTTGGCAGCCCTCTCTCCCATTCTGCCCAGAGAGCCTATTTTGAAGGCAGAGGTGGGTCTTGGGGCAGGGGGGACAGGAAGAGGGGGTAGTAGGGGATGGGGACAGGGAACAGGGGTGCTTGAGAAAGAGGAATCAGGCACAAGAGGGCCTCTGAGCTGTCTTCTGCTCCTCAGTGGTCTGCAGGTGTTCTCAGGCAGTCCCCAACCTTGACCTTCATTCTGCCAGAGAAGGAGCTCCTTCTTCCCGGACACAGGTCATGGGCTACCTCTCTGATCCCAAGGCCCACTTTGGTTGCCCTGCC